GGCGCTGGAGTCGGAGCGGGTGTGCGGGTCCGGAGCCCTGTGGGCACTGGAGCGGAGCGCGCCGGGGGTGCTGTTTCTCCCTTTCCGCCGCGTTTATGTGTGGGACCTGTCGCGTCCAGCTCCTCTGCGCGGGTCCTGAGGAGGCCTAGGCGGCTCCGGGACACGGAGGCGACTCGGACTCACGCCGGAGAGGCTGCGCCCTCTGCTCGTCTTGTTCTAGACTGTAGCTCCAGTGCGGTACTTGGTGCCTGGCGTGAAGGTTCTTTATATTTGTTAATTCAGTGACTAGGTAATGGGAGAATTTCTCTATGAACCTGAGCAAGCGATCTAACCTGTCAGTACCCCACTTTTCTGTAAATGACTTAAAATTCCCATCTGACTCAGGCAATACTTTTGTAAAATACAACAGAATTAGCAGATGAATGAAATGGAATAAATTCGCATAAATGAAAGTCAGACTTTTTTTGAATTATTAGATTCAGCAGACGTGAAATTGGATGTCTGGCAATATTAAGTTATATAAAAACAAACTCAGTTTCTGTACTTATCTCCTTGGGGATCATTACCAGACAGTTCACAGTGGTGTCCTGGATTATAGGAAAAACTGCCTGGCATCCAGCACAGTGCTTGACTCTCAGTTCAGTGGGCTCTCAGTGTTTGCCGAACGGGTGAATGAATGAATTGTACACATAATGCATATTTGAGCTTCCTTCGAGATTTGTGGGCAATTGCTCAAAAACAATTGCACAAGTGTGAATAGTACAGATGTGAGCATATTACTTACGAGCTCATCCAGAATAATAATTGATCAAAAACAATTATAAGCAATAAGATAACTGAAAATACATTTGTTTTAATTTTAATATTAATTGGAAGTTTTCAGTGCTTTCCTGATTTATGTTTATGATGAGAAATATGAGCAGCTATTAGGTGTTGATAATCAACTTTGTGAAAACACTTTCACTTTACTTTTTGAAGTTTCTGGATCTATTGAAGAGTGTCCTGAGGTTACAAGATGAATAAAGTTTATCTTTATTGTGTGGTCAGGATTTTTGGGAAAAAAAATTAATTTTATGAAGTAATATTTGCTTACTTTAAAAAGAATTTAAATAGCACTGAAAGTTATTGTGGGAAATGTAAAAGTCCCTTTTCTCTTTCCCTCATTTTCTCAAGGCTGGAGTGTGTATTTTTTTTTTTTAATTGCAACTTCTAGAGATTTTGTAATACATATGTACATATAAACTAAGTATAAGTATAATTATACTTAAAAATGCACAAATTGGTTGGTACGGTTTTGAAGTACACTATTACTGTTTCAGAGTGCAAGTTCTGGATTCAGTGTCAGCTTGAATTATGGTTCTATCATTTACTAGCTGTGTCTCCTTGGAAAACTACTTAATATCTGTGTGTCTTTCTTTTCCTTTTTTATAAAAGGAAACCCTGGGGTTATTATGTGTTTAAGTGAATTCATTATGTAAACACAGCACAAGTCCCTGAGATTTAGTAAGCTATATTTTAGTTGCTGCTACTGAAAATTGCTGTTTTTACTTAAGTGCGTAGAACTTAGAATATTTTTCCTTCTCATTACATGTGTATCATGTGTATACCTCATTGAAAAAAAGTTTGCTTGGTATTCCCTGGTATGGATATAGCATAATGTTTCCAACCAGGCTTTCATTAATGAGCTTCTAGGCTTCTTTCTGTTTGTTTTTTTTCCCTTTAATACAGACAATGCTACCATGAACATTTACATTTTTGCATACTTATGGACTATATGCTGGGTCACAGTGTACACACAATTTGCATTGTGTAGAGCTTGTTTGTGCCACACTCCCACTTACAGTGTCTGACAATGCCTCACCCCCTTTTCCATGTGGGGTATTGTAAGTGCACTTTTTTGATACTGGGCAGTGAAAACAAAATACAGAAATTGGGAACTTGGGGTTGTTATCCCTCACCCCTGATATTAATTTGTGATCTTTATCAAAATAATGGCATGTTCACATTTGTTTTTTTAATATATCTTTATTGATTTCAGAGGAAAGGAGAAGGAGAGAGAGAGATAGAAACATCAATGATGAGAGAGAGTCATTGGGATCGAGCCCGCAACCCTGGCATGTGCCCTGATGGGGGATTGAACCCCAATCACCTGTATCCTAGGTCATTGCTCCACCGCTGAGCCACGCACAGCTGGGCTGTTCACATTTTTTTTTACTTAGTAATAAGTAAATGCCATCAATTTGAACTTAACAAATACACTATATCAACAAAATACTACATTTATGTTATATATATTGAGGCTCTATGTAAGATTTCATTTGTAACATGGCTTCTGCTTAAAAAATTTTTTTGGAAGATGAACAGTTTGCTGTTCCCTAAACAAGCCTGTATGTCTTACCTTTTCTCTTTCCCCTGGAATTAGTGTCTCTGCCTGCAGATTCCATTGGAAAAGCCTCTTTTATTAGGCCTTTGTCATCTCCCCAACCAGATGAAACTCCTTTTGAATTTCCAGGGCTTTGTTTTATACTATCTTTATGGTACACACACAACTCTTAAGTTATATTAAAGTCATTTGTGAATTTGTTTTATCCTGTTTTCTAGATTAGGTTAGGGGTTATTTTTATTCACCCTTTTCATTCCTTGCATAATGCCTTACACATAAGTAGGGATTGAATATATATTTGTAGATTTGAATTGGAATTAAATTTATGCAGTTCACTGGTTGAGTAATTAATTATACATGAGACATTATACATCTCTGGTGGTCATTATCTTATTATTGGACTTAAATATATATATATATTTAATGAAAACGTGTGTGTGTGTGTGTGTATGTATGAAAGTTGAAATTGTACCCACTGATTTCATTCTTATCCTTGAAGTGCAGACTTGTGTGTCTATATGTGCACCTCAGAAAGAATGATATTCTTAAAAGTTATTCTTAAAAGGAATTTTCTCCTGCAGGTAGGAATTTAATCAAGGGCAGTGCATCCTGAATGCCTTATCCTCAAAGTTCTGTGAGGTTACTAGTTAAAGGATGTCAAGTTTAAATGATGCGAAATGCCATTGTTTTGTGTGGAGGTTCGTATATGCCCTCTTCCCATGCTCACCCACTTCTCTTTTCCTTTGCCTCGTTACCTTTAATATTGGTGTATGAATCTGTCTCTTCAACTGGTCTCCCCCACAGCCCCAAGGTAGGTACCTTTTCATTTTTGTAACCAACATAGCATATTTTTTAAGTTTGATACCTTTTTCTCATTTCTTTCATTAAAAATATTTTAAAACCTTTAAAATATTGGTAGAGATTTGTAGAACCTGTTAAGCCAGTTGGGAGCTGAGCTCATCACCCATTTTATAGCCACAAGGTGGCAATAATTGAGCAAAGAATTGGTTTTCTGCTTTATGAGTACTACTGTTTCTTAAGGGTAGAGGGTGGCACATTACTTGTCAGCACATTGAAAAAATGGTTTGCAAGAGTTTTCAAAGCCAAACAATAGAGCATTTTATTATTTTAAGATGAAAAATAACATTTCACTATTTTAGCCTATTTATATAGAATAATGTTACAGAGTTTATAGTTTCATTTTAGTGGTAGATTAAATAGGGTTTATGCAGATACTTTTAAATGTTGCTTTTCATGAATATTTTATTGGTATTTTTTATTTCAAAATTCTAAAATATTCCAGACCACAGAATATTTAAATCTGATATTTTGTTTTTTCAGAATACTGGGAAAATCCAAAATAGAGCTTATTTAAAGGATTTGTTTCAGCAAGGGGGAAAAGTTTCATATTTTTAATATAAGTTTTAAGTCTGCTAAATTCATATAGTGGCAATATCATATAGTTTTATTTAACCCTTTGTTTTCTCACTACTTTTATATTGACAACTTTAAAAATTATACCAATATTTTAAATACTAATATGTAAAGGAA